AAAACTGTACATATATAGGGGTAATTCAACATCCTGATCACGAATATGACATTCATTTTTGGCGCTGGCGCTAATGGATGACACTACGGTTACCTGCGCTCTGCTAAGGCTGAGCCCAGGAGGTAATCGTAGTGTCCTCTCTTGGCGCCAGCGCCAAGAATGAGTGTCATACTCGTAATCAGGATGTTGAAATGTTACCCTATCAAGTTTTTAGTGGATTTGGACCTAAGGCAATTTGAATGAGTCGGAAGACGAATTTCTGAGTCAACAAAACGGCATCAGCCGCCTTTTGCGACCCTAAGCACAAAGGTATCCCGCCAAATCCACGCCAACTCCGTGGAATTTTCGAATTCCAGGCAATTACTAAGATCCATGCAAGTCACTAACAGCCGCAGATAGGAGCTTGGAACAACCCAGAAATGAACTTTCAATGGGTTTATTGGACTTGATTAGGTTAGCACAAATATTTGCTCTCCTTACGGTTAAACAAATATTTCAAGAAGAACTCGCATATTACTTGCAGATTCACCGATTTGAAGGTCGATAAATATTTGAAGCTACTGAGAGAGGTGCTGGAGAATCCTCAGCCGAGTTGGGGCGGGGGCTATTTGGTTGGTGGAGGGAGGAGAACATATTTGGTTCCATAAAGAATTTTTGACAGCTGATTTTCCTATTTCACAGGCGCTATCCATAGCCCGATGGCAGAATTTCTGAGAAAACTGGAAACTGCGTGGAAAAAGCGGAAAGAGAATGTATGCGTACCGATTCGGAACATCGGCAGCTTCCTCTAGTGGAATCCTAAGAAGCACACAGTGGGCGGGACTAGGTATTCATTTTCTGTCGAGTCCTCACCAACGACTTCCATCTCGGAATCCTTGTGTATGTTCGCAGTCTTATTTAACTCAACCGAATTTCTGCAGTGGTATAACTTCGAATATCATGCCACTGACATTTTAGAAAATGACTAAAAAAGTATAAGCACAACGATTCGGTAGTCAGTCTGAAACGGTAGAGGGGCTACTAAATAGTGGGAGAATAGCGAATATATAAGTGAGAAGGTCAAAACACGCAAACATGCAGGGCTCTGCTCGGCGGTCACCGTATACCGCTAATATAGAGCAGTTTTGGACGAATTTCCCGCTGGCGTTACGCCAACAACCACGCCGGTACCTTCGCCTGCATGCATGTAACTCGAAATCCTGAGATCGGGTAGGCGTGGCTGCATGTTTCAACTTGACCTGAAGGTGTCTATGCTTTTGGTGAGATGCTTTCATCTTGAAACAATTGCTGTCGGGTCTCTCTTTTTTGGTCGCAACAAAACAGGGAAAAAAAAAACAAAAGAAAAAAAAAAAGAAATTGAACCAAAGTTTTTTTTTTTTTGTCCAGAATGGAAATGACTCCAGATTAACCAGTTTCAGCGTCATGTTCCAAATGTCCAACGCCTACTGCTGACTCAGGGATAAGGAGATATGCCTTCTTGGCAGCTGGGAAAAGCTTATGAAAAATACCAGACGAAACTTCTGGTAACGACCCCAACCCCTCCTCCGACCCCCCCCCCCCTACAGATCATAGTACTTTGCTAAATTTTCTCAAATTCTTACCTTTCTCCGGTTTTCTCCCAAAAACTACGCCACATTTTCTTCAGGAGACCGTCGAGCAAAGGGAGGGGTCAACTATGCACTCGAAGTGGATAAAACTGCGGACCCAAAAACATCTTTTTCGAAGGCAAGTACGACCCCCTCCAGCGACCAAACATCATCCCTCGCTCCCAAAGTGCCCTCATAATTTGCGCATAGGGTTCATATCAATTGTACTTGGTGAGGCGATGAGAGTATCAGCGTCAATGGCGGATGATAGTAAAAGTTTCGAGGCCTCATGAAGGCACTTCTAAAATATAGAGGTTCTTCTCCTCACCAGCAGTCCCCCAAAGAGCCCCTCGCTGTGAACGACTAAACATACCGCCAAATGGGTGGCTTTCTTCCTCTGCTAGGCTTTTCGACCTCATAAGCATAGTCAATTTGTTATGCTTAAGCTTTGAATGCAGAAAATTCCACACACAAATAACGGTTTACTTCCAGTCACCTAAAACAGCCCATAAATCCCTCACATCATCCTGATTTACAGCGTGCAAGAGTCGATGTGAAGCGTGACTAGCTTCATTCCGAAAAACGTTTCTCAAGAGACTGGACAAGATTGTCTGCGCACTCAATGCAGAGCTTTTCTATCCTTAGTACAACTTTCATAGGACATATCCTGCCATCCAAAACTTTATCGAGCAGTGCGAACCAAACGGGATCGAATTTCCAGTCATAATAATCACTCCATAGAAAATGTTTATCTAGAAAACTTCGCAAATAGACAACGAGATCGATCAATACACACAATAACATGGATGAAATATGAACAACAATGTGAACATTTGCGGGCTACCGTTTATGCAACACGTCTTTTTGAAGTGGATTACATGGGATAATGCAGTAAACGAACAAATCAATCATTTCTCGCCTGAGTCCTCAACATGACGAAAATTTTCTCCTTGATCCAGTCCTTGTTATGCGGCACATACTGGCATGTCTCCTAAAAATTCCAGTAATCAATTAACCCTACACTTTCATTTAGCAATCGCACAGGGTGTCCAACATCGATGCCATAAATCAGCATGAGCGAGATTTCGCAGTCTATGGATCGTTGCTGCCGTAACCCGGCTCACTGAAGGAAGGCAGCGTTCAGACATCGCGATGACGCGCTGCAATGCGCATCGACGCGTTACAATTACAACAACGTTCCAAAGCTATACACGCGAGCGCAGTCGCAGACGGCCGACATCAATTCCCGTGTGCGAATGCAATTGAAGACGGGAAGGGACGGCCGTCTGCGACTGCGTTCGTGTCCATAGCTTTGTGGCACTGTTGTAATTGTGGCGCGTCGATGGCGCATTACAGCGCGTCATCGTGACGTCTGAACGCTGCTGGGAATCGAGGCGCCGGCCGCTCCTGCATCGAGAGACTATGCGGGAATATGATGTTAGATCTTACCCAGTCACACAAACTAGTACTGATCGAAACTCGGCTGTCTGCGGCTGCGTTCGCGTCTTAGCTTGAGCGACGTTTCCAATTGTAGCGTCAACGCACGTCATCGCGATGCCTGAACGCTTTCGAACCGTCTACGGACAACTTGACTCAATCCCTTTAATTCTGCCAAATTCTATTTTTCACTGCGCTCTCACGTCAGCATTACATTACATGATCATTGTGGCTCAACACATTCCAAATTTTCGCGTATTTAGTTCATCAACCTCGTGTCTCCGCCCGATCGAAAAAGCTCCTCTCTCTGCTCGCAAGCATGTTTTCGCGATATGCCTTCAGAAGAAGAAGCCCTTCTATTCCCGCTGCGCCATCTTTTCGACCGCCAATTATCCCGCAAAAATCTCAACGCAATACCAGGGAACTCTTTCCCCCTCCCAATATTGTAGACGCGCCCCTCGACGCCAAGCGAAGTGAGCCATTGTTAAAAGTACATTCGTATGCCAATTGCTGCGAGGCGTATAAGATTTTTTCCGGGCAACCAAAATGAGCTCAAACTTGGGAAAATAATCCTGCGCTGAATACGGTGGCAGCGACTCCTGGGTTGCGAAATCGCTCGTGTCAAATCAGCGGAATCTACAGATCCAATCAAGGTACTAACCGTGTTCAAGATTAAGACAGCTAAGGTCCGAGAGCTTATCGATAAACTCATATAGATGAGAGACGTCATATGTGATGCTGGCCATTGACGGATTCTGCTTTTTGAGAAATTCCTCGTTAGAGTGTGGGCAGTGCCTGAAAAAACTTCGCCTGTACCAAGTACATAACTTGTCCCGACTGTCCCAGTAACTGTCAACTGTCCCTGAAAAGACGAAACTGATACATTCGAACATCTTTGGCAGGAAGCCAAATCTAAACACAAAGAATAAAAAAAATTTCACTTATTTCACCTCAAATCCCATCTAACCTCAGGGGGCAGGCGAAATTGGTCAATTGAGAACCATTTAATAACAATGGAACTTTTTCCTCGAGTTGTTAGAACTGGAACAAACTGAATGTCCATTCACTTTAGAGTGAACCATGGCTGTGAGGAAAGTGAAGGCATCGTCTACTGCAGTACAAACATGAGGTGAGCAGAAGCGAAGAGGGGCGGTTGCGGTAAGTACAAACGTCGTACTATTAGAATACGTCTTTTCAACAATCCCGAAACAAAGTGAAAGGGCTACTTATGAAAACTGAGCCAGCGTTGGCGCGCCTGGCGATGAAGTCCCCTTGAGGTCAAGTTAGATCTTAATCCCCCACAAACCCTATTCGCTGCAAGAAAGTGGCGAGAGAGGCAACGCTATCTGCTGGAAAATGCAAAAGATCCCATCGACAACCAACTTTTGCGTGATCATTACTCGTGATAAAAACAGCAATAAAGTGAGATTCATTTCCGTGAACTTGAAGAATAATAGAAACGGCAGCATAGGACATAACATCAGTAGACAGGCGTTATTAATAAAAGACTCAAAGCCACAATTTCTTCAACAGAGTACCTTCAAGGCAATCAGTCGTCGATTCATAATCAGACCACGTTCGGGAATCAGGTCGCACGGTAGGCTGAATGAGCAAAATGGTATGGACCATTTTGTGCTTACTTGATTCTGAAAGATAAGTTGAAATATCGTGCAAAGAACAGCGGAGCAAAAAAAAATGAAAACTAAAGTATGGGGAGAAAAAGAGAAGCATGCCGTCGTACAGTGTTGCTGGATTATACATAGAGAGACAGAAAGATGGACGAAAATGAGTTGGCTTATTGAAATGAAGATTCAGTCGAAGAGTGAAGGCATTGTGAAAAAAGATGCTACATGATTAGAAAACCCAACGGTGTAGGAAGCCACATGAAGAGAATGGATAATGAAATGCACCACATTTTGGAGGAGATCGG